GTTAGTTCCACTGAGCTGTAATCCCCCACCACGCTCTTCCCCTTGTACCTAGGAATTCAAATCTCGTCCTCCCTTCTTTCCATAACAAATCCTATTATTATTTGGTGTGCAAAGCAAAAAACTGTATCATGCTTTTGGAGACATCTATACTATATCCTCACAGCTGTCAAATCCACTGTCTGAAAGCAGGTTCTATTTTTACCCCATGAATTCAAGGAAATAGCTTACCCTAGTTAGGGTTTCCAAGAACACAGCCATAATATTTCAAATATGTGTACTTTCATCATGACAAGTCTGTCAGTCAGTCTGCCTTAAGAGCAGCTTTATTTTGCCCACATTAGCTATGCTGTGATCAGACCTAAGAGCCCCAGTGTGTCAGATGCTGCATGAAGAAGTGGTAAAAACCCAATTCCTGGGCATCCTGGGCCTGCCATATCAGACAGACTGCACCAGGGCTTTTTTGCCATTGCCAGGTACCATTACTTTCCCATACAGCTCTCTGAACAGGTATTTGTGTTCCTCAGAAGAATCTGAGCTCCAGCACCCATCACTGCACTTTGCTTTGCAGTAGTAAGAGTGCAGTCAAGGCTGTGAGACCACTAGAGAAAGCTGTCCTTGAGAGAGCCAGGACTCAGTGCGCTCTGTGCATTGCCTGGGTCGCACATGGAAGTCCAGCATTGCTTTTCCTAAGGTAAGTGCACAGGCATTGGTGCAAGATCTGAAGAAACAAAGTGCCACAGTTTGCAAATGAGACACTGAAAGGAAGGAGGGAGGCGGCTGCTAGAGTAACAGTGTGCTCTTATTCTTTCCACAGAGATCCAGTTTGTCACATAATGACACAGCCAATAGCTTTATCTACCTCTTGCAGCTGGCAGGCAGAGTATGTGTAGCAACATTACCCCCTACAGTTCAGCAGTATGTTCCCACTTTCTTTAGCTTTGGGTACGGCTATGGTTTTACTATAAGCGAATAAGTGAGCTTATTATACCTCGAGTCTATTAAACATGATAAATGTGATAAGGAAGCAAAAGGAATGAGTAAGTCAGAAGCCTATAAAAGCTAATTGCAGCAAATAAAATCCTGCAAAGACACATGTCAAAGTAGCCCAAACAACCTTCCATTTGCACTTTCTCCTTACTTACAGCCTTTTGTTAATAAGTTTTTATTTGACCAAGAAAAATGGAGATTTTTCCCCCTTCCCCGATATTTTCATCTTCTACTTGAGAATGTGTTACGAGATGGAAAAATTACTTGCAATTTCAAATTTGGGACCTTAATTGGAAGAAAAAGTTGTCCTATAGTTCTGTCCTTAGGCAAAAGATGTAAAAGATGAATGACATCTGATCCCAGTGTGGCTGCCTGCGCAGGGATGCTTGGCTACAGAGCCATTTGGGTATTTTGGGGGAATTCAAGTCTGCCTCAGCAGCTGCACCCTTTTGTATGTTTTCCTCCTTGTTTTCTTAAATGCAAAATGAAGAAGAAAAACAATAAAGTTTTGTTTATAACACCATATGCTTGATGGTAGGTTGAGAGGTAATGGCCTCTAGGAGGTTCGGGTTGGATGTTAGGAAAAGTTGTTCTGTGAAAGAGTGGTGATGCACTGGCACAGCTGCCCAGGGGGTGGAGGGGTCACCATCCCTGGAAGTCTTCCAGACCCATGGAGATGTGGCACGGAGTTCAGTGGGCATGATGGAGGGGGTTGATGGTTGGATTAGATGATCCTAGAGGTCTTATCCAACCTTAATCATTTTATGATTCTGTGAAAACCAAAGGGTAACATGTTCAGTGCAATATAGGCTTAGCACAAGAAGTAATACTGGCTGTAGTTGCATTCAACAGGGGAAGACCCTGCTCTACAAATAGACCAGGGGGCTAAGTGAACATCAGAATTGCATTTTTTGCTCTGCCATGCAAACTGCAGCTCACACAAATAGCACAAAACATCTCTCTTAAATAGGTGAGAGATTTCCTCAGCTGTGTGTGACAACTTCATACACACCTGATGTAAAACAGCAGCACAGAGAACTCTCAAATGTCCACCTTTCTGTAGCAATCCCAAATCTGAACGGATTCTGAGTTAAGAGTAATCATTTTACTATTGCTCATCCTGAGGCTGTGGCTTTGCTACCCCTAAAAGCATATTTAGGAATCAATTCCAAGTTTGTGTTGCTTTCAGCCACAGGGTCACTCTGTGGTGCTTTGTTAGGAGGGAAAGGAGCATCCTTTGTCCAAAACTGAAGCTGTTTTCTACAGCATGCTGCATTTCAGGAGTTACAGCACAGAGAGCATCAAGCACCTCTTTGTGTGCAATACACAAAATGTATATTTTAAGGGAAGCCATCCAGAGGGATCTAGACAGGCTGGAGAAGTGGGCCCATGTGAACCTAATGAGGTTCAATAAGGCTAAGTGCAGGGTGCTGAACTTGGGTCGGGGCAATCCCAGGTGTTTATACAGACTGGGCAAAGATCTCCTTGCCAGCAGCCCTGCAGAGAAAGAATTGAGGGTCCTGGTGGATGAGAAGCTGGACAAGAGCCAGCAGTGTGCGCTTGCAGCCCGGAAGGCCAACTGAGTTCTGGGCTGCATTAAAAAAGGGCTGGCCAGCAGGGAGAGGGAGGTGATTGTCCCCCTTTGCTTGGCTCTTTGGAGTACTGCGTCCAGGCCTGGGGACCCCAGTACAAGAAAGATGCTGAGCTCTTGGAACAAGTCCAGAGGAGGGCCACTAAGATGAAGGCCTGCAGGCAACCTCCCTCCCAGCAGATCAGTTGGGGCTGGTTGTTCCTCAGGGAGCAGCTGGTTCCTCTGTTGCTCCACTCCCATCCCTGTGGTTTTCCTGCACGCACAGTGTGAGCACCAGGTAGAGCAATGGTTTCTTGGCAGTTCTAAAGCACCCCCAGGGTCCAGTGAATGTGCTACATATCCACAGCAACTCTGAAAAATGAGGTCCCGGGGCAGCAAGGCTGATGAGAAATGTACAAACCCATACAAAAGGAACTTCAAGCTCCATCTTTTAAGGACAGTGGAACCTCAACCTCCTAACTCTGGGAAGACCTGATCGTGGCCTTTCAGTATCTAAAGGAAGCTACAAGAAAGAAGGGGACAGACTGCTGAGCAGGATCCGTTGTGACAGCACAAGGGGAAATGGTTTCAAACTGAAAGAGAGGAGATTTTGATTGGATATAAGAAGTATTTTACAAAAAAAGGTATGAAGAGCTGCAACAGGTTGCCCAGAGAGGCAGTGTATGCCATGTCCAGTTTTCTGTTTTCTGTTGTCCTGTATGTCATGAGAACTATTCCTTCACTGCTTATCTGTTAGTGCTTGTGGTACCTACATACAGAAGGGGTTAGATCCCAGCCTGGTGGGGATTTCATATGCAATGTTAATAGGATCAGGAACATGCCTACGCAAAGATCAAACATAAGCCTCTTACATCAGCACCTAGAGGCAAAATGGCATGAGGCACTTCATAAACTCAGCTTGGTTCTGTACAGATGCAGTGATGTCAACAACAACAGAAAACAATAGAAAAAGAGAGATTTGTTGCCTGCTGTTTTGAATGTATAGGAGATATTGCACAGATCACCAGAAAATATTAACAATTCATCACATTTAAAATGTGCTTCGGTTCTTTCTGAATCTACAGTAGGAGAACAAAAGGCTTTTCTTCCTCAAAACAAACATGAAATGCTATCTAGTGTTGGCTCTTTGCTACTGCAGTCTCACAGAACTGTTTCTGAATGAAACAAAATGCACCCTGGGCAGTGTGGGCTCCAGAAGGGAGAGGTTGTCCAGTTCTAAGGTCTCCTTTGAATTTCAGAGGCTCACAGTGCTGCTTTTCCATCCACAGAGGAGGATTGGAAGAGGGAAAAAGACCAAGAAGAGAGGATGGGGAATGCAAAGCTGCAGCCAGCTGCTGACCCATGCGCCTGCACTGGGATGGCTGTGCTTTCCAAGCAGTTTGACATGACACAGGAATGTCTGTAGCTAGAATATATATATTGTTTTTCATTTATTTAATCAATGTGTTACAATATTAAATTACATCAAATGCTAGAATTAGCAATATTTTGCATATTTATAGAACAATAAATATCTGGATTTAAAGCTGATAGGTCAGAATGACAATGGACTGAAGGTCCTCTAGGTTTCAAATCAATTCCTAATATTATTCTGTGCATTAAAAAAAAAAAAAAAAAAAAAAAACAAAAAACCAAACAAAAACCAACAACTCTTGCAAGTAAGCATTTGGGTTTTCCATTCTGATGCTGAGTTAACTAAAAATCAGATTCTGCCTCTTTCAGCAAAACTCCTGGTACAAGGCTGTTTCTTCACTGGCAGTTTTTCCGTCCGTCAGCCATCTCAGCACAGACAGAAACATCTCTAAATTGCCATCAGTCTTGCCTAAGATGGATCAAAACATCTCAGCCTCCCCTGCGTGATGTGCCCAAGAAATGTCACTTTTATTGGCTGCAGGTGACGCACCAGCTAACAGCTTTCTTGTCCTTGCAGGCGGAGGGAGGGGAGGGAGGGAGGCAGAAGCAGACCCTGCTCTGACTGCTCACACGCTGATTTCTATTCCCAAGGCCAAATGTTCTGTTAATAACTCCACATCACTCACCTCTGCTTGCTGCACTTGTGACCAGCACTGCCATGAGCATACAGCAGGGCTTGTAAGGGGCTCGCAGGGATCATGGAAGTGAGACCGACGGCTCAAGCTTGGACATAAACATCTTCTGTACGTTTTTAATGTGCTCTATGGAAGCACATTTACTTTTATTCAGACCACTCCAAGTAAAGGTTTGGAAACATGCTTTTGAAACCCAGACACAGATTTCTTACTAACACAAAGGCTGGATACCAACATGTGCCAGACATTGATCACGTTGCTGTCATGAAAATTACTAGGTACTTGGAACATGATTAGAATCATAGAATCATAGAATGGATTGAGTTGGAAAGGACCCCAAGGATCATCAAGTTCCAACCCCCTGCCAGAGGCAGGGCCACCAACCGCCAGATCTGGTACCAGATGAGGCTGCCCAGGGCCCCATCCAACCTGGCCTTGAATGCCTGGAAAATGATTATCTGAATGTAGTTAACTAATATAGACTATGTCCTAACAAACTTTTAATTCAAGTCCCCTGTGAACTCGCAGTGTCTCCTGTTTCCATCACATTGTGCTCCTCGTGCTGGCTAATTCCCACTGACTCCAGAGGAAGTTGTATCTGGTGGTTCATGGTAGGACCCAAAGCTTACAATGTGCCTCTGGCTGTGGGGACTGCACATACAGCACAGCTCTGTGCATGGGTGCCCTCCCTGCTGCCTCCTATCCTCCAGCCAGGGAAGCTGACCCTGTTGATGGGGCTGTAAGCTACAGCTGTGTTTCCTATATGTGATCCCAAAACCCCAAAATCAATTCACAAACCAACAAGAAACTATGGGAAAGGATCCCCAAGGGATCCCTCACTGACACAGCATATTCCAAGTTCTTGGAAGCCAAACGAAGCACTCATTTGGTTATTACATGGAGTGCAACCCTCCACCAGGGCTGCAGGTTCCTTGGATAGGAACATGGCAAAGAAAATGCCCTGAGGACTAACACAGGCTTCATAGCCTGGCTTGGGTGTCGCTTTGATAGACACAAAATGATCTTGCAGGGCAGCACTGTGGCCTTACCTCTGATTCTGAGCCTTTACAGTGTCACTGGAAAAATCTTTTTGAAGTGCAGGTTTATGAATCTTCTCGGGGCAGTGAGGCAGTGACAGTGACCATCTGTGCTGAACAGCAGTGTTTTATAGATTTTTCCCTCTTACAAAAAGTGCATCCATTACAAGCAAGATGAACAATGAATGCACAACTGTTGGCCCACGTGCATTCATCATCAGGCTGCAGATGGCTGCTGGTTGTATGCCCTCACCTGGCTGACCGACCAAGTGCCACCTCTCAGTGCCTAATATCTTTCCCTCCTGTTCTGAACATCCCTGACAACCCCTTCTGTCCTCCTTGTGATCCAGCCCCAGCTCCTTCTCCCAGCAGGAGAAACCTACATGGAACATGCTCAGCATGGACGCACACAGGGATTTTTCTTTCATGGAGCTGTTACCAAGCTCATGCAAACTCCATGGTCAGATACAGCAAGGGCTGCTGCTGAGGATGCAGGTTCCACCTGTCCCATCTGCAATGCTACATCTTAGGGATATGGTTAGTGGGCAGGGTGGTGGGCCGTGGTTGGACCTGACGATCTCAGTGGTCTTTTCCAAACTCAATCATTCTATGATTCTATGATTTACACCAGCTCTTCTCCACCTTTGGTACATCAATTAAATATATTATGTCCTCAGTAAGTGTAGAGATGGCCAAAGTGGTCCAGGAAGAGCTTCTAAATTTCCCACCAACAAGCAGAACCTCCCCAGCAATATCCTCTCATTCTTTCCCTCCTTTTGTGCTTTTTCTCCCTTCTCTTGGTTTTCTCTTACTTTTCTTTTGCTGTTGTGAAATTCCAAAGGTCTTGCAGCAAACTTGCAGTCCCTGACAGCTCTGCCAGATGAATAATGTATATCCTGCATTTCTGCCACCAGGAGAACTCTTCCCATTCTGGTGAAAATGAAAGAGAAAGGCTGACATTACCATGTGAAGTGTCATAAAACAGTGTCATAGAATCTTTTGAGTTGAAAGGAACCTTTAAAGGTCATCTAGTCTAACTCCCCTGCGATGAACAGGGACACACCTACAGCTCCACCAGGTGCTCTGAACACCATCCAGCCTGACCTTGAATGTCTCCAGGGATGGGACACCCACAGTCTCTCTGGGCAACCTGTTCCACTGTTTCACCACGCTTATCATAAAAAACATTTTCCTTACATCCAATCTAAATCTCCCTTTTAATAATTTGAAACCATTTCCCCTTGTCCTACCACAACAGACCCTGCTAAAGAGTCTGTCCCCTTCTTTCTTATTGCCCCTTTTTAGACACTGTATCTTAAAGGAACAACCTCAAATGTCTGTGAAAAGTGGCCCCAATCTTAACAGTAATAGCTTGATTTTGGAATAAGTTTTCAAACAACCTTAAATCTTTCCTTGATAACAAGAAGGTGAAATCCCAGCCCTAAAACACTTGAGGCTGATGGGCATCGTTTGCAATTGGTTCCAATCTCTCCAGTCTCTGGGATTAAGGTCTCAAGTATCTCACCCACAGCATCTCTAAGGAAAAAGGGAAGAGAGGAGGCACTTTCCCATTAGGAAATCATTTATTCTCACTGCTTTTTGACTATAAAATGCTTTTTCTCCTTATGGCTACTGAGCCTATAAGGATTCAGAGGCAGAGTTTACCTATGTGGTTCATAGCTCACATCCCTCTGTTCTTTGGGTGCAGTTAAAAAAACAAAAAGTCCTGTCAGCAGCAAAACCTTGGGAGGCAGCTATTTACCAGAAGAGAATGAGTCACCTTGTTTACTCTGCACGCTGGGATCTGAAAGACAAGGAGCAATAAAGGTCATGGAGGAGTTGTCTCTGTGCCACTTATTTTGTCTGTGCCTCCAACAAAGGCAAAGCCATCTGCAGTACAAGCAATGAGGCAGCGATAACCAAAAGATTTCAAAGGGGCATAAGAGGAGTGCCAAACACTCTCGATAAAACCAGAGTGAACAAGAGGAGTCGTGCAGCTCTTTGTGTAACCTTTACTCTGCTGCTAAGTGCACCAGTTTATAGTAATTATGGAAAAGCCACTGATTGTATTATGAATGTAATGACATTAGCAGGACTGTCACTGTGTTTGTAGCAACAGTTGTGAAATTAATTTTTTTCTTCATTAAGGAGATCCTTATTTGCATGATTAAAATGTCAGCCCAGATAAATGCATATGCCAGGGAATGAATCACTGAGCAAAAATGCCACCTGCCAAGCCCAGAGAATAGGACAAATGAGCAGGCGGCACGGAGCAGCTTCCAGCTCCCAGCGGGAGCAGTGATGGCTGTGGGCACACTGGGGTGAGGATACTGAGTCTGGATGAGGATGCTGAGATGGGGTGAGGACGTTGAGCTGGGGCGAGGATGCTGAGATGGGGTAAGGATTTTGTGTTGGAGTTTGTTATTCAAAATTTGGACTGTGATGCATAGAAACATTCCAGTTTTATTTGACACTTTGCTTTGTGCCACTTGAAATTGTTAAGAGCTGAAATGGGAACTCACCCAGAAAAAAAAAAACAAACACTTCACTCTGGAAAGGCAAAAAGAAAATACTTGGGCCACACTGCAAGACTGTGTCCTGAAGGAGCCCAGCCCAACACTTGCCCAAACTGGTGAAATTCCACTTGGTAACCAGCACCTTCTAGAACACAGTTTGACAGCTTCCTTGTCTTCCCGAGCGCATCACTGCTGCCAGCACAAAATCCTTCTCCTGACCTTCATCGGTACAGAGCAGTCTCATCAATACTAGTCCATATTACATTTGCTTTAAAAGAGAATATGCTCCTAAGGCATTTCTGTGCTGAGATTTTTTGCCATGACTCCAGTTGATCAAGTCTCTGTACATTAGAAAAAACACTACACACATTTGTAATACAGTATTAACTGAGCCAGCCAAGCCATCTGGAACAGATGCTTAAGATTACAAAACCACATTGGCTACTTTTGTAAAAATTAGGAAAGAATCAGCAACATCAGCTCCTGAATGCTAAGTTGTCCATATGAGTTTGTTAATAAACTGATGTATGTCCAACTGCAAAAATGAAGCAAACATGGGAAGGAGCAAAACCAAGGCAGAGGGCTCCAACAGACCACAAAAGGTAACTCAGATCTTCACAGAAGTGTTTTAAAAGTGTTTAAAAAAAAAAAAAAAGTGTTCAACAAACTAGAATAAGAAGTAATGGCCTTAAGTTGCATCTGGGGAAGTTGTAATGGCCTTAAGTTGCATCTGGGGAGGTTCCATTTGGATATTAGGAAAAAATTCTTCTCTGGAAGAGCGGTAATGCACTAGAATATGCTGCCCAAGGACGTGGTGGCACTGAGGGACATGGATAGTGGGTATGGTGGCAATGGGCTGATGGTTGGACTAGATAATCTTAGAGATCTTTTTCAGACTTAATGGTTTAGTGATTGTATTGTTCTACGCTGTTCCTTCCACCAGAAAGTCTACCTCTGGGCAGAGGTAGTCTGGTGGTTCCCCAGTATGCCCATAAGGAAGGCTCCCAGGAGGTTGCTCCACAAAGAACAAGTGTGATGGGACACAGCCACACACAGCATAGCTGGGGAGCAATGAGATAAATCCAAGGGCAGGATGATGCAGTCTGTGATCACAGGAATGACAGCAGCTGAGCGCTGAGGAAGCCATTGGTTTGTTGGCCACGGTCTTGAACACAATAAGACAATTCAGGGGTTGATTCAACACTCCATTTCCAAGATAATACACGGATTCCCATAGCATTTTTATGAGCTTTGGTGTGCAGAGAGAACAGAAAATAAAAAGCAGTCATAAACCCAAGATTAACATGGCTTTACCCTTTTGCCACAGCTGTTGTCCCTGCTTCCTGTGGGAAGAGGATGGAGAAGCTTCCATAAATGCAGCTCCCATCCAGCTGCATAGATGAGATGTAGCCCAATCCAGCACACATATGGGACCATAGAGCACTCATCCACCACATACACGACATTCCCCTTGGACACAGTGTGGGCACGGGGGGAGAGAACAAGTTGACTGGAAGATGTGCATTGTTATCATATGTGCTGGGCTCAGAACATCACCACAGGACTGGGGAGATCCTGGGGTTTCCTTTCTATTTTGTTTTTTTTTCTTTCTAATTCCAAAATACCTAGTTTTAGAGAACATGCAAATGTGCCTTATGTTGTGGTAACAGGGGGGGAAGAAATCTGTGACTGCAGAGCTCAAAGCATTTACTTTTTTTTTTATCTTCTGTGGGAGCTAAATCCTGATCCAGATGTGGACTTCAGCAGTGTTGGACATGGCATGACGTGACATCTTCAGGCCCTTGAGGAGCCCCCCCCCGACCTAACAAAGTGAGCTTCTCCCTGCAGAATCAGATTGCAAAACTCACTGCAGAGTTCCTGAGTCCAAAGAAAAGCTGCTGACAACAGAATATGGTTCCTCAGTTCAAATCCTTGGGCTTTGCCTATGCCAACATGCCTTGTGGTTCTGCAGGGCTCCCAGTGCGTGGGCAGGAGGCTGGAGATGTAGGCAGAAGTTCACCTTTCTCCTCAGCTCTCAGTTTCTCTCCGTTTCCACCCTTCCTTTCCATCCCTGCCCTGCAGTCATCCCAGCCCCATCCCAATCTGCAGGGTCCTGGGTGCACCCTCACTGACCACCACTTCATTTTGCCTCCATTGCATTTTGTAACAGTGTATTTCAGCACATGCTGCTTGATGCTATCTTCTGCTGCTGTCAGACAAAAACCGATGCAAGCCAACAAATCCTTATTACTTATCGGCTTTCAGCTCAGTTCAAATCAATTTTTATTGCAGTGTGGTGGACATATGTTTAAGTCTTGCATCCTTCTTGACAGCAGGGAGATGGGATTTATTATTATTATTATTATTACTATCATTATACTACTATTATTATTGTTGTGCAAAGGAAAGAAGAATGGTCGAGTGCGACAAGAGGTATGTCCCCGAGTTGCTTCAGGGGAGGTCCAGGCTGGATTATAGGAACAATTTATTTGGCCAAAGAGTGGTGATGCAGTGGCACAGGCTGCCAGGGAGGTGGTGGAGTCCCCAACACTGGATGTACTCCAGAACAATGGAGATGTGGCACTGAGGGACGTGGTTCAGTGGCATAGTGAGGATGGGTCAATGGTTGGACTGGGTGATCTTAGTGGTCTTTTCCTACTCCACGATTCTATGATTCTAAGTGAGATTATATGAAATGAAGTAGCAGTGTAAAAGAAAAGCTCTCAGTCACTGACTGTACTGCCTAATCTATGAAACCATGCAGGAGTAAGGCATAACAAAAACATCCCTAAGTTGCAGAGTATCACCACCAGCAGCCCTCTGCCTTTGGGAGGATGAACTCAAGCAGGAAGTTTATCTGCAGAATCCCAGTGAAATTATTAGGAATTCATGAAGCAAGAGCAGCACCTCTCCCCTACTGCCTGGGCTCTCTGGGAAGCCCCACCGTTATCCACATCCTCCATTTCTCTGGGATCTGGTAAAGGCTTTTTCTGCATTTTAAGCTGTGAACTTTGTAGTGATAAACTTTTTCCCCTGCTGTTGCCACAGCACAAGGCGCACAGACATACTCTCTAAAATCAGTTATGTTAGGGAGAAAAAATAGCTTGACCTTGTTTCATAGTTGGATCAACATCTAATTGCTAAATGTTGCACGTTTCCCTGAAGACAAAACAAATATGAAGAAAAGCCACTAGGTTCTGGAAACTGGCAATGCTATCTGCCATCTGCAGAAATTCTTCTGGGTCTTCAGCTAATAATAATGGCAGACAATACCTTTCTTTTCCTCATTTTCTCTGCATTTACACAATTGAATATCTTCTCCTCTTGGAATGGGTGTCCCCATCAGTCTGACTGAGAAATGTTTTCCTGGGACCCTGCTATTGTGAAACACTTCAATCTCTCCAGTGTGTCAGAGGTAAAAGTCAACAGCATCTTGAAATTGAAGACTGGAATAATTGCCTGCAGTCCCACAAATCATCCTCCTGTTACTTGGACTAGAAAAGGTGCTCACAATGCTTGAGCTACAGACAACTGGACAACACTCAGTTGTTGAGGTCAGGCAGAGGCTGGCTACTTTTTTGTAAAACCTCCTGATTTTGGACTCTTTAAATGCATTGATCTGGAAGTGCAGTGTAAGACCATCTGTCCGGCCAGCATCACACGGGAGGAAGGGCGTGCTTAAAGCCATGACTTCGATTTTGTGTTTTAAGAACAGATTGGAAGCACCTTCTGTGCCCTTTTCTGTTTATTTGACTGTTAATTTCAGAGGTTTTAGACTTAGATCATTCTAGGAAAACCATCAACACGACAGTAGCCCCCCATGCTCCATTTTGATGCTGATTTAGCACACAGCATTCTCAGCCCCGAAGCAGAGCTTGCTGATATTCGTTGCATTACACCAGGGGTAGCTACTTTCTAAGTGATTTGCTTTTCTTTTTTAATTTATGCCTCTAATTTGCTATCTAAATGAAAGTTTCTCCCGAGAGTATTTCTTTTCTACAGTCAAAGGCCAATATTTGGGGGCAATTGTTTCCAAGCCAAGTGGCTAAAGTCAGGTTGATAGTGTTATAATTACGTGAGTTTGCATTATGCATACTTGATTCCCTCTGTGTCTTCCTCTAGATTGTGGCAGCTGATGGTAATGGAGAATTGGTCGCTGTATTAGATCCTAAAATTTCAGTTTCCTGTTCTGGAAACTTGCAAGTCTCAAATATTCCCCTCTGCTAAATGCACATGCTCTGGGGAACTGCTCCCTTGCCCATGTGCTAATGAGTACTTCCTATCATTAGACCCAGGAATCATTACTGGGTAATCATAACTGGTTATAAAGCAATTAACAAGGAAAAAGCTCTTAAGAAGAGTGCTGATGGTGTTTGGGAGCAGATCCTGCTTTCTATCTGCCCCTGGCAAGGGACTCGTAGGGCCACACATCAGGCTAGGCCAGAGACGGCTTTGGGCAACGTATTCAGGGGAGAGGTAGCCTTGTCCAAAACAGGGGTTGGCACTGGATGGGCTTTGAGGTCCCATCCAACCAAACCATTCTGCGACCCTCTTCATGCTATGCACTTAGATGGAGAGCACCCTGTGAGCCCCAGCCCCCAGCAGCTCTCCCTAGGAATCCGCATGTGCCTCTACACAAAGAACATGGTTCTGCATTTGTACAGGCCACATGACAGGATTCATCCCTGCTCACTGACCTACATAGTCACTTGTACCATCGTGGGATAGGAAAAAAGCACTGCTGCTCCTGGTTTGCAGCACTGCCTGCTTGCCCAGATCCAGCCAGTGCTGAATGGCACAAGGCAGGCTGAGGCAGCATCCACATCTCCTGTTTTAAGAGAACTGTCCCAGGCTTGAAGTCAATATTTTATGAAGAAATGCACAATTGCAGCTTAAAAGTCATAAAGCAATGCATCACAGCAACACAGCAACACAAAAATGTCAGCCACTAAACCTGTTAGAGTGATGGGTCCCAGCAGCAGGGCAGTGCAAACACCTCATGGCTGATACATCGCTCTCACCAAACGCTGAATGGGTGGAAGGTTGGCATCAAAGGGCTCTCTGACCACCAGCTTACTGAAGGTGACAGCTTAACTTACCCTCTGTTTGTTGTACTGTGTGTTGCCAGCTGCTTTTAAATTGATGTGCTAACTGCACTCCATTCTATCTTCAGCCATTCCCCAAATTGAAGAAGTGTTCTCTACAATCTTTGCTCTGAGGATGCCTTAGAATGAGTCACACAGCCATAACTGTGCCAGAGGGGTGACATACGTGCAAGTCATGGTGCTTGGCAGCTCAGTAGGGTTGCACTAGCAAATGTTGTGCCAAAGAATCCAACATTGGGGCGCATTCCGTCCCTCCTTTCTACACCTGGGACCCTTTCTCTGATCCTTTTTCCATCTCTGTGGCACAGATTAACATCTCCAGCCCTACCAGGCCCGCCCATGGGACTGCTCTCACCCACATTCCATGGCAGGAGAAGGAGACTGAGTGCTCCTGTCTGCAAACATCACATTTCCTTCCCTAAAAAATCACTTCCTCAGCGATTTTCACTTCTCATCAACTTTTTGCACAACTTACTTTTTCCTAAAGCCAGCACATGATTGCTCCTTGCCTTTTAACCCCTTCCTTCTCCTGCCAAATGAAAAAATGAAAAGTCTGTGGTTTAACATATGGGCAATGAGCTCTCATAAGGCAGGAACACCTTGTTCAGAGGCAGCTCACAGCAGAAGTTTGTTAGAGAAAGTGAGTGTTGCTCATCTCCGTGCAACTGAGGATATATTGCTTTATATGAGGAGGATTTATCTGCAATGTATTGCAATCCTCTGAGCCTTTACCTTTAGGGAAAGCCTCAGGAATGACTCCTTAATGCCTAGTTTTGTTATGAAAATGAACTTTAGCTATCTTATGAATTGTTTATCTTAAAGCTGCACAATCACACTGATTATAAGAGTCTGTGTTATTCAAAAGAGTGCAGAATCTCCAGTGAGCAGATGGATATTGGAGAGATATGAGGGGCATTCTGCTTTTCAGATTCTGTTCCACTCATGTGCTTATTTCTTATACGAAGAAGAACAAGAGTGTAATTGTATTGCAGTCCATTATTGTGATACAGAAGAAGCAATTATTCCATGTGTACAAAAAGATCATTAAATATTTCCACTGGTAACCACAAATCACACTATAAGTATATTATAGTCATATTTTCATTACATTCCCCACAAGGAATGCAACTAACAATTAATTCCAGCACCAGCAAGAGGAAATTGAAGCAGAGGATAATTTTTCATCCTCAAAAACAGACTGAGATTTAAAACAGAGAGACAAAAGGTAGCTGGGGCTGGATCAGCTGCTGGCTGGTGGGGCAATGCATGCAGATATGGGGGACTGAGGGTTTGCAGCCAAACAGGTGGAATGTGGGACTGTGTCAGCAGAGCACTTAGGAGGTTTAAAAAAGAAGATGCTATGGTTATCAGTGGGTATTAATCTTTCTTGCACCCTGTGACAGTGCAAGGTACACATTAGCTGCAAGGTACAAGACATATGTCTGTGCCACAGCCACAGCACAGAATGGGAAAATGCTGAATTCTTTCTCCTTTGAAGTGTTAAGAAAGAGAAGGAGAACAGCTTTGCAACCACTAACAGATTACCAAGCACAGAGCTGAAGGCAGCTCTGAGATTGGCACAGAACAGTGTTCCAGGGCTCTGGAGGTTCCTCATTCTCTCATCATGAACCACAGGAGCACCAGAGCTATCAGGTTAGCTTCACTGATAATTGAAGCCTTCACACATTGCAGTTAAACGCTTCTCGTTCCGCTCTTTATTTCTGGCTGCTTTGCAATGACAGTCAGAAGTACAAAGCATGATGCCTTTCTCAACTCTTCCAATCCATGTAGCTACTCCAGCTAAAAGATTACCAGGAGGCCAGTTCTGAATTAGCCCCTTCAAGGAGTTCATCTTCCTTATTTTGTGTAGGTATATGACTACATTCAGCACCTACAGAGTGAGGTGCTGGTACAAGAGCTGCCCAGAGAAGCTGTGGATGCCCTATCCCTGCAGGTGCTCAAGGCCAGGACGGATGGGGCCTGGGCAGCCTCATCTAATTTCTGGTTCAGTGGGTGGCAACTCTGCCCATGGCAGGTGTTAGAACTGGATGATCATTGAGATCCATCCCAACACAAACCATTTTATGATTCTATGCTTTTGTGATCACAACCTTCCAATTACATAGTGCATACACCAAATAGAGGGAAAGCTTTCCTGGATTGTTTCCTGAGTCTTTTTCTGGAAGGAATCACCAGCTGGGAGGCAGCCACTCTGATGGCAAAGCAGCCATTTCCGTGTTGGTAACACCCATTCTTGGTGAGGCAATGGGACATTTCTTGGTGACTTTTATACTTGGAGGTGAAAAGCTGTGCACCATGTTCTGACTTTCACACTTTCATCTACTGGAAAGTGTTCTCATTTCCACATAATCTATTTTTAACATCACTGTAATTAACTGCTGTACTTTCTCCTACTTACTCTGAACTCTTCTATCAGTAATTCTGATTATCTGCTGAAGTGAAATTCCATCAGAATTAGCACAGTAAATCCATTTAGCAAAGCAGAGAGCACACTGCCTATCCATAGTATCTCTAATGTTTCCATTTCAGGTATAATTCTTTAAAATTAGAGCCATGTAATGAGATCCACTTCAGATTAACACTGGTGTAAGAGTGGAACTTAATGCCTCAGGGTTCTTTTTTCTGGATCTCTGTAGCTATTCTCTACCTCTACTGCAATTCTCAAACTGGAAGATATGACAAGAGCAACCTACACGGCCAAAAAGGGAGTTCCCTCCTGCCAGCATTTACTGCCAACACAGGCAAATATTGGGTAATCCCTATGACTCTGGATGTCCTGGCATATCTCTGCTGGGAAAACAGACAAGTCAGATCTGTGTAGAACAATTTCTGATGAAACAAAAAAGAAAAACAAACAAAAACTTTGCAAAGCACTTCTGATAACAGATGTTGTAAAGAAAAGGTTAGTGGGTCAACAGATGAAAACGTGGGATCCTTTCTAGCATAGCATTTTCCAGCCTCCTACTCAGTCTACTTTTAAAACCAAATAGTATTCCAGCCCAGGGAACATTCTCACTCCACTGTAGATCTTGGAAAATACGTATTTTCTATTGCTCGTCATTTTTCCCTCTGAATTTCCACCTTTTTCTCCTTCCTGTTGTTCACATTCTCAAATAACATTTACCTGAACTTTTTCTTTCACTAAATATTTTTGATTATTGGTTACTGACTGCGGGACAGCCTGGGAACACCCACTGTCTATGATTTTAATCTTAAGCAACTACTCATGGTGTCCAGAGAACATAGGCGCTATGCAGACTGCAGAACACAGCCAGCCCAGACCAAACAGAGGTTTCAGTTTGCCCTTCCACTTTCCAAACTTCAGGCAACCTGAGGTTTAGCAACTTTATGAGCAGAAATGGCTTCATATGCAATAGGTTTCCTTCCAGTAATTTGCTCTATCCCTTTCTCCACCTTTGAAAACAACGTACTGTTGTAGGTTGCAGAAGTCAGAATCTGTTGAAGAGAGCTAGAATAAATTCTTCTGTGTGTTATATGTTACAGTCTCATCATCTGTGTCTATTTGGTGCCAAGTGAGAACAAGACTGGCTTCGGATCCTAAAAAAAAAAAAAATTGCTTAGGTTCTGCAGGTTTGGATGTTGCTAAGTCAGTACTCAGCTTTTTTTCCCTGTGAGTGATAAAAATCACTGCCTCAGCACGTTGCTGGGTATATCAGCTTCAATATAGAAACACACTGAGCTCTCAGATGTTAAAAGTGACTAATAAAGACTGAGTTCTGATTTCCTGAACCTGCACAACTGCCATGATCCAATAGAGCCACCTGAAAACTTACTGTCCCCAGCTGCCACATACTCACCCTGTGCTACCTGATAACAGCACGTCCCAGAGGAAGCCATGCTCTCAGAAGCTGCACAGAGCTGTACTTGGAGGCAAGCAACGATATTCATTAAGACCTCACCCCACGCTCCACGTTATGACTTTGGTGCTGGCTGTAATTACTGAACAAGCTGAGCACTCTAGCAACCTATTATTAAAAAAGCACAGGTGAGTCTAGCTATTACAAGTGCTGTCTATTTGGTCTGGGGGGGGGGGAGGGGGAAAAAACACCTAAACGAGGGCAACCCCCCCCTTTCCATGCAGTCTCACCTGACCTCTGCTGATCTGTCACACCCTTAACAACTTTTAGCTGAGTAAGATAAAACTACAGAGGAAAGCATGCCTTAATGTGATTCAGTACCAGACTAAGCTGTGAAAGGTGTATCCTTGTTCCTCCACCATTAAGTTAAACGTAGCAGCTCCCCTCTCCCATCACTGGCTGTGCTTGCTGGCCAGCCTTGGGGTCAGTTCTGCCCACAGACACACATCTGTGGGACTCCATCCCCTTGGGGACACACTGCTGGGGGGTGGTTCCTGAAGGACAGAAGCCAGCTCAGCCAGGGCTTGAGCTGTTGCTGCTGCCAGCACTCTCATTACACTAGTGTCAGCTCTCTAAACCAGCAAGAACCAGTACGAACCTCTTACTGTTGTAAGCATCTGACTCCTGCTAAAATAAGTCATCTAGGAATATGGGTTGCCAGAAGCACACATGGGGAAATAAACAGTTTTTGGATGTGCAAGAGCATGGGGAAATATCCTAAAAGCCAGGAGCAGTAATTCAATGGAAGAAACAATTCTGTGACCTCGGGATTCAAATTGTCACATCGAGGTCAATGGCCAAAGACACAAAGTGTACAGGATTGAACCCCTGGGACTTGGTTCTGCAAGGCAGCAAGCACTCCCAAGTGGTGCAGACAGCACTGCCTTCCCAAAGAGGCACAGGAGTTTGGAGGAGTCTGAAATTCAAAAAGCTGCTAGCACAAATATTCCTGAAAATGGAGGAGATCAGAGAATCATAGGTTGGAAAAGACCTCTAAGATCATCTAGTCCAGCCATCAGCCCATCCTAACCATGCCCACTGACCATATCCCTCAGTGCCACATCTCCACGGTCCTGGAACACCTCGAGGGACAGTGACTCCATTACCTCCCTGGGCAGCCTGTGCCACTGCATCACCACTCCTTCAGAAAAGAAATATTTTCTAATATCCAACCTGAACCTCTCCTGGCACAATTTATGGCCACTCCCTCTCATTCTATCAGTTACCTGGGAGTGGAGGCCAACCCTCACCTCACCACAACCTCCTTTCAGGGAGCTATAGAAGACAATAAGGTCTCCCCTGAACCTCCTCTTCTCCAGACTGAATCATCCCAGTTCCCCCAGCATCTCCCCCTCAGACTTATGCTCCTGTCCCCTCTCAGCTCCAATACACTTCTCTGGACACACTCCAGGGCCTCAATGCCTTCTTGTAGTGAGGGACCCAAAACTGAACACAACACTCAACATGCAGCCTCACCAGTGCTGAGTACAGAGGGTTGATCACATGTTCCTGCTGACTGCACTATTTCCAGTACAAGATACAGAGACAATACACGAGTAAAAAATCATTAAAAGTTGATGATTTAAACATCTAAACATTTGAACTTGAACTGACAGTCTGCATTAAGACCTAAACTACCCATCCTCTACCAACTTAAAGTAAATACAAGTAATGCTCAGGCAACCCATGTCTGCTGCTGATGGTGAAAAAGTAGGACATTTTGCTGGGGCCAACAGCCAGAAATACATGGAAGCTCAAATCTCTGTGATGAAGGCAGCCTGCTGCCCGGAGACATGGATGTGACAGATGTTCCTGCACCCCTCTACTTCAGTCAATGCAGCCTCCTGGTCCGAAGTCAAGTTTTCACATAGTATGCAAACAGAGGTCACCACATCCCAGCCTGGTTAACACATAACCCAGGCAACCCGTGCATAGATAACAGAGAATTGATTTCCATAGTGGAATGATAGACAACTGACTACAAAGTGTCCATTCAGTTTTTGAGCTACAAGGAAAATGCTTTAATGAGTACCAGTGATAACCAAAGTTCATTAAGAAAAAGAACAAAAAGATAATGAAGTAGCTTGTTTAAGGCACGAGTTACTGTTTGCTGGTTTAAAAAGCAAAGAGATGCTATGTGACGGGGTTACAGAAGAACAGTATATCCAGCATAACTTGACACATTGTGAGGAAAGTGAATTTTAGCCAGTTTTGCATCTTCCCCATTTCAGTCTTCCCGACAGTATCAGGTGGCATTACTAAAGGAGGAAAGCTATCAGGAAATCAGTCTGAAACAGCTATGGCTAAGGCAGTTTGGGGGAAAAAAAAAAATTAAATGCACTTAGAAGCAGATTAGGTCACTAGCAGCACTGTTAGATAGCTAATCCAAGCATACATATTAAGGTTTGCTGTATTTTCTTTTGTTCTGTAGTCATGTGTTGACACCTATATGGGACTAAGGGCCCAGAAAGGTGATTTTTACATGCATTAGATTGGAATAAAGAACAACATTTTGCCTTTTGTTCCTCTGACCAGTTGAGTCAGTGGATCTGTTCTAAAAAGATCCAGTGTAGCACAAAGTGTTGTTCCTGACGTTGCTAGGTGTTGTAAAGAAAAACATGAGATAAGTCAAACAGGATTTTTGCTAAAGGAAACAAATCTGTGTAAAAAATGTGAACTAAAGATTTCATATCTCAGTACCAATCCAAGCTTTTCCAAAGATAGGACTGACCAACTCTGCAGCTGTGGGTTAGGTCACCACAGGCTCCCAGGCCATTCATTCTGTTGGGTATCATTTGGGCAGTAAAGAAGTCTTTGTAACAGTTTTGTTGAACATCATTACCTAGAGTGTAGGTCCAAATTATTTTCCTCACGCTTGGGTTAAGCATTACATCTCACCAAGCCATTCCTCCAGGGTAAAAGTGGAATTGTATTTCTCCAGTCATAAATATTCTCTGTTCTCCTTGGACTTCTGGCAGTCTTTTTTCACACTGAACAGCAGTCTTTCAAAAAGTCTTGAGTAAAGTTGTTTTATGGACAGTATTACATCAAATTAAGTTTTTAATTGTTTTTCAGTTGTTTTCTATCTGTTCCTGAAGAAAGGTTTATTGCAAAAGCAATGACACGCTCCACTGCTTGGGAAGAGCTACAGACAAGCTCCCCTGCAACTTTGCTCCTCATAAGGAGTGTATTTGCAGAGCAACCTTCTCCCTACCCTTGTTCTCTCTTTTCCCCTGGGAAATATATTGATGGACATATTTCATCTTGAACATGAAACAGCAGTAGGCATTATTTCTATGGAGAGTGCAGATATATTATGCAGAAGGAAACATTACAGATATGCCAATAACTCTTACAGTGTTTATCACACGTCTCAATGATCAGTGTAATTAGTAGCTATCTGTAAAATGCACAGTCTAGTCTGAAGCACTCATACCAGATACATTTTTTAAAAAAATACTGTACATTTCCTTTTTCATTCAACTCAATTTTTTCATGAATGAATCTTTTGGAACAAATCCGTTTTGTTTTCTTTTGCATTGAAATGGATTGGTAAAGAGTATTTCCTAATACAACACAAAGTTAATGACCTCTCTCAGCAAATTAAGCTGTGGACTTTAAACGTGTGCTAGAAAATTCAGGTATAAATTTAACTTTTGCTCATGGAGAAAGTCATGGAGCAGTCAGACATTTCTGACTGCTGCCAGTTCAAATATCAGATACTCGTGACAAAGTTTATCTTGTAAATAGGCAAGACTCAGCTTTGGCAGGTGCAGATAGGTGAGCTGAAGCAGAAAGGGACACACTCTTTTCACAATATCTTGAAAGCACCTTTGCCACTAAATGAGTCTTTGGTAATACCCCAAAACCAAACAACATGGCAAATTCTGCTCACCCAGGTCAGATGAGAAATCACAGCAGTGCCAATGAAACAAACATAAATAGAGCTAGAAAGATATACCCAAATCTGTTGGCAAAAACAGACAGAAATATTCAGAAAACACAGTGATGATGGGATAAGAGTTTGAAGGACAGAGGGAAATGTCATTGACCACTCACATGCACCTCACCAACGTGATTAATTGCAGCACCCACGGAAAAGGTAAGACCTGAAGAAGGAACAAGTTTCCGTGGGTGGCTGACAGAAGGTGAGGATTAGGTGCTGCTGTCCTATAGCTACAGTCTGTTTGCTTACAAGAAGCAGGAAAAACACTTCAGAGAAACAGGATTAGTAATACTAATCTCAAAGTCACGAGGAAGATGGTTTATATATATTTGTACTTCAACAAGTATCACGTGGGGGAAGAGAACTGGTATCATTTTTAGCCTCCTTTTTTAATGAAAAAATATTGCTGCCTTGTCTGGTATTTGCTTCCCTACTCACAACTTTAAATATTCTGATTAATCTTAACCTGGTTTTACAACTGCATGAAGGTAACTCAGTCATAAAGTTCTAGATGTGTTCAGGATTAATGCAGCAATCATAAAACAGAAATATGTGCCTTTTTATAAATTCCACTTATACCTGACTGAGGGAAAAACTCAACATGTGTTTACAAGTATCTACAAAGGAGCTTACAAAGATCCCAAAAGCTAGAAAAGTTAGTGGTTTACTGTCAGTGGAAAGATGTGAGCTCATAGGAAACTATTCAGCACCACATTTGTGACATGGCTTGGTGGTTAACACAGTGAGACATTCTTACCAAACACAGAAGACAAAACAACTCCAGCTCTATGAGGAGTCTTCTCCAGCACAATGAACTTCAGGGTCCTCTGCAGCTCCTATTCCAACCAACGCAGCATTGGAGTATGGAGAAGTGAACTAGATCAGAGAAAGGATATACCTGCAAGCAACAAAACAACCTGTTTTACCTGTCTCAAGTCATAGAATCACAGAACCATAAAATCATCAAGGTTGGAAAAGGCCACTAAGATCATGAAATCCAACCATCAATCCATTACAATCATGCCCACTAAATCATGTTCCTAAGACCCCATGATGCTTTACAGAATGCATACACAGAGACTGGGAACAGGGGAATGGCAGGCAACAGGAATAAGTCTGCATGGATACCAGTAAGGAAGGCTTTCCATCAATAAATGCTTGAACAATCTGGGGTTCAACACATTTTTTATAAGACAGACAAAAATTGAGGACCTACAGTAAAGGACGAGGAAGAATGGCTACACTGTGGTGATAAAAGTCTTAAAGCAGCCTGGGAAGTTTACTTAGCCTGAGGGACTCTGCAGAATAATTACAATGAACCCAGTAAGATATCATCCAGTGTAAAAGCATCACAGTTTGGCTCTGTGGAGTTCAAACTCTAAATTATTCCTATTTATTTCTTAAAGACAAGAATAAATAGCTGAACCTTGAAGCAAATAAGTGAGCAAGAATTTCAAACAAGAAAAAGAATTTTTAATAAAATGAAACCTTCATATATTAAAGTTTTTTATTAGATCTAAAGAAAGGCACTAAGTACATTCTGTATTGTCCCCATAAGGCATGTATGAAGCAATGGCACCTGGAGACTATGCAATTCTTTCAAGACTAGGCAGGATAAATCAGTTTGTAGTAAACTCCAGGCTTTTATAGCTGCAGCTCTGCAGAAGCTGAGCGAGGGTCAGGTTTATACAGCACCTCAGCTGTGGAGCTCAGTTTCACTATTCCTTATGTCACAAGCAGTTTTATTAACGCCTGTACAAAGAAAGACTCAATTATCTGTTAACAGTAGATCAGTCCTAAGTGTTCACTGTGATCTCTTCATAAGTGTGTAGATCTTAGATCTTTACAGTGAACTTCGTAGATTTGCTTATAATAACACATGTAGCAGATACCTGGTACGGTTGAAACACCATATTTATCACTGATATAAACATGCCTTTCATGAGCACCAGCAAATTCTAATTTTCAAAGCAGCTTCAGGTATTTGGACTCATTTATCTGGCCTTAATGTTCACCTGGGAAACATTTGTGGAAAACTCACATGCAGGAAGACAGGCTGGTAAATACATGCCTTGCTTTTCAGCAGCGCCAAGCTCCAAGTCCTACTAAGGCTAGAAGTTGTGCACTTCTGAACACAAAGTCAAACGGGACAGTTTCCTCCTTTGTGGCTGTAACCAGAAGGCCTCCCATCCAAAAAATACCAGTCCATCTGAAATGGGAAATAAATATGAGCAGGACAATTATTTATACTAAATCCACTTTACATGGTGTGACCACAAGAAGTGGGCTCATAGTTATCAATTTTATGTAAGCCTTTACATTGCCAGGCCAGTGTAAAAGGCCATTTGTGTCAGTAGGAATCAGGCCCTCTTTGTCTTCTGTGCATGCAAGCACAACATTGCAAATATTTACCCAATTAGATAGTTAGCTCCACCCAAGTATGAGCAAACAAAAACAACTGCTCATAGCATTCCAGAGAAACAACACTGCGAGAACAAAGATTTCCACACACAAACACAAGCAACCAGCTAACCACAAAACAGCAAAGCCAGCAGAATTTCTAATCGTAAAAAAGAGCGGCAAGTTCTCTTTGTAACAACAAATCTTAGTGCTAATAATTCAAAAGCAGGAGATAGATGCCTGCTTCATTTTTCTAACTGAGATTCCTTTAGTGAGTCTGGAAAGAGTAAATACGTATGCAGTTCAACAGATACCAAGATTGGCTGATGAGAAGACTGATAGCTTCTAAGACGGATGCAAAACCATTTTAGCATCTAAGATGGAATATAAAACCATTTTATCTTCAGAAATTTTGTGCTTATGTCTCCTGTTTCCCCAGATTGAGGTATCATTCTTTATTCCTTGTGTTTCTCCCTCACCATATGTGGGATGTAAGAAACAAGTAACATTGCAGATATTGCAGTTAATGCCTGTTTGTCAGGAGGTCTTTTTGCAATCACAATTTCTGAACCTCTGCAATGAAGGTATCAATGTCATCTTTACTAATGCCATCAAGCCCTGACACTGTGAGGCAACTCACAAACCAACCTGACCAGACTGAAATCTGGGTGGTTGCTGGACCTTCTGACTGTACTTCATTATAGCAAGGTATAAACATACAGCTGCCCTCTGACCTCAAAGCTTCAATCTAGACTACTTTAGAATTTACTTCTGGGTACAGAAAGCAAAAGCTTTTGCTGCAGTCAGAGGAGAGAAGCAGGCACCTCCCAGGCCTGCTCAGATAGAGATCCATCAAAGAACTATTTCCTTCCGCTGCCTGCGAAGGCAAACTAAACCTGGGCTTGAGCAGAGGCACCTCTATGAAGTGGGTTGCTCTGAGCAGGCTGAGTGAGTGCAGTGCATGTTCCTACACCACAGTCTGCTCTCTTGGATTTTCAAATCCAGCAAGCCTGAAGAATACAGTAAGTGAAGCTGGCAGCGTGCAGCTCAGACCATTAACAAGCTGCAATTTGCAGAATCTTAACCTAGTATTTGATTTAAGATGACTCTTAGCAATGCCTGTAAAAAAAAGTAAAATGTACTATGGCGTGTTTGAAGCAGTTGTATAAGAAACACCCATAGAAAAATAGCAAGACCTATATTAGCATATAACCAACAACTTAGCTCATAATTATGCCTTTGATTTTACATGCAAGTGGCCTGATCTCATTATTACAATTAAAGTGTTTCTTCATGAGTAAAAGCTGAAGGGTTTGGCTCTAAAGAAACACATTTTTCAGCACATCCTGGCTTCAGCAATTTCTAAGCTATTGCCCCAGGGAAAGTTTTAGGCCTCCCACATGCGGTGCTTCTTTAAAGTTCAGTTTGGCAATCCAAAAATTCCTACCACCTCAGTACAGTGAACTGCAATGAGGAGCACTGCTGATGTCATCATGAAATGGGAATCTTGAGATTTTGCCTGAAAGTGGCAGTGTCTGGACAGCTAATCAAGATGCAGTGTAGACACCACATTTCCATATCACATCATGCAATCATGTGTACACAAGTTCTCTTTCTGATATCTTTGCTGTGCACTGGTTTTCCTGGCTGTATCACAGAATCATTTGTGTTGGATGGAACCATTAAAGGCCATCTGGTCCAACTCCCCTGCAGTGAACAGGGACACCCACAGCTCCATCAGGTGCTCAGAGCCCCATCCAGTCTGACCTTGGGTGTCACCAGGGACAGGGCATCCACCACCTCTCTGGGCAGCCTGTGCTTCATCACACTTACTGTATTGTATATTGCAAAGCTTTTCCCAATGCTCTGTTCACAGCTGAGACTGTTCTCTGAATATGAGTCTACAACGTGATGGGAGAACAAATCAAACAATAGCTTGTGCTTCATGGTGAAATCAGCTCTACATAGTCACGCTTTCAAAATGGTCCTCTGACCACTTTCAGGTAGATATAAGGAGTCCTACAAGTGAACTACCTATGCCCCTAAGCATTTTTTTTTTTAAGCAATATGAATTGGGCAGAGCCATACTACATAGAGAGCTCTGGACAGAAGTGTTTTCCACATGATAGCAATGGCTCTAGAACTCCCAAACACTGTGTTCCAGAGCTTAAGGAAAATAAAGATGGAGAGATGTAACCATGGTGTGTGATACTGAGTCTATTCCTGGTAGCTACAGCTCTGCTATTTATAGTTATTGCTATAGTATGGCCAGGCAAGGAAGAGGCAGAGCAGAAAAGAGCTCATCGGATTTAGATCTTACCTATCTCATCAGACACCAAGGCTACAGCTAGTTCTCCCAGAGAAGAACAGTCATTCTGTTTGACACACTGAGATGAGTTTGGAAAATGAAGATGCTGCAAGGATCCTTCTTGTCCTCTGTAACTACTCGTTACAACTGTGTAACTACAGGAAAGAGTGTCACTACACGTCTCCCCTGCTGTACCATGAGGAAATTTAAGGATTTAAGCATGTAGTGGGGGAGTAGCTCCTTTGTGGTGGATTCATGGTAACCCTACTAGCTGTCATATGCATTCGAGAAGCATCTTCCCCAGGTACTTGACAAAAGTGGGAAGATTTCTAATAAGAAAGGATAAAAAGTGCTGGAAATATGTACCACAAGAAGAAGGCTGTCAGGGGAACTTATTTCACATTACAAACTTTGTGGAAATTATCATTTCATTCAATGAGGGAATGCATGAGATCCAAACCACTAAAGAAGTGAAAAATATTTGAGCTAGTGACCACGACAGCCCTTCCACGTACAGAGAAGCCCCTTCATGATGATTTATGAGCATCAGATATAGAAATGTACTTTTTCAGTTTCTTCTGCAGGCAAGCAATGTTTCCATCAACAATAATCTATAGAAAAGATGATGTGTCTTCTGCTTTGCTGAGTTTTTTAGCAGCACATATGTTATTTATGTCACCTATTTTTTAGACTACCATGACGTGGACTACTGTTATAAAAAGCTGGCCAACCTCACAAACCTGCTAATGTCATCAAAGAAGCAATTTGTTGCCAACACAACAACAAAAAGTACTTTTTCCTAATGAAGTTTAGATCAAATCACTGTCTTGAATATGAAGTCTGGACTGACTGAACTAGCTGCTACAGAACTACACAGAATGATGGCAATGAATGAAGTTGCAGCTGAGACAAAGACACTGTCTTTGTGTCAGGACAGAGGTTCATTGAGAGTGAGTCACTCCCCACAGCTGTACGTGGGATGCTGATTAGCTAATTATATGATAGCTGCTACATGAATTTATAGACACTTGAAGACTGCAGCCTCCATATAATTGTTCTTTCTGTTTTGCTTTGGTAGGAAAGCAGCTAGAGAATTGTCTGCAACTAAACAACAGAAAAAAACTTCATTTGTCATATGCCCTGCACGATATTATTAACTGCAGAAAGAAATAGCTTTGTTAGGGTTCAATTTCCACGCTAAGACTCCAACTTCCGTTTATCACCCTAGATTATAGACTAGCAGCAACATTTTTACATTCAACTCACTGTGGATGACTCAAATTATTACATACTAACCACCAACACTCTGTTTTAACCCCTTTGTTTTACACGCCTGAAGTGTTCTGGCTAGGGCTTGTTTTGTTGGGAGCCTGTCCTTTTTGCATACTGCTTATTGTACCACGTAATCACTCTCTGTACTTCTCCTTTTAGCTTTTAATGAGATCCTGCACAACTTAAGGACTTACAAAACTTCACAAAATCACACTACAGAATTCTGCATCCACCTTTCTACGGTACTGTGATCTCCGAGGAAGCATCATGCAACATACAGGCTTCAGTGAAGGTTCCAGAGAATTCACACCACTGCACTGAAAACAAAAGCAAAGAATTCAGTCTGATATACTGCGACTCATGACAAGAGATTTTTTGAACTATTGTGCATATAGTTGGCATCAGGAATCAAACAAAGCACGTCACTAAATCCTCTTATGGAGACACAAGAGATTAAGGTTTAGGTTATGACCGGGAAAGCCCCTTTTCTCTCTATCAATAGGAGAAAGCCTGAAAGGTGAATAAAATTCCAAAGTCTCTAGTGAAGCAGAGGGAGAGCAGTATTAGGTCTTGTTCAGCAGCAGGGAAACTGATCATTTCTGTGGTTCTCTGCCACTGCCTTCTCTCAGCAGTCAGCTCAGTTTTTGACTCAGTGTGAATAGAGAGGAATGCAAAATGCCCCAGTATCCCACATCAGGTATCCTGCCTAAGAGGCCCAGGAAACAGCCTTTGTGAAACTCATTTTGTCACATTTCAGAATGTCAAAGTTTAATACAGAAGGCAGGAAAGAACAGGTGAAATTATTTATGTACCGAGTAGTGATGCTGAGCACTTGCAGATTCTGCTGTCTTTGCTCAGGAATGAGATAAAAATAACTGTCATTAATCTCACAGAGACACATGAGCACTTCTTTCCAGAAATAACTGTTCAGCATAAAATTTCAGGCAGTAATCAAAGCTTTCTGAGGCCAAACCCTTTTTAGGATTCTAAAAGGAAATCCAAACCATAATGAGTATAAAGCAACACAAATATGATGGGGCATTTAATCTTTATTCTAAGCAGCTGATTTCAGGAAACACATGACTGGGGCCAATTTCTCAATTGGTGAATATTCACATTGCTGCCATTGGTCATAGAGAAACTGCCACAAGTTTTACCATACCAGAAGTTGGTCTCTGCCAACTGAAAGAAGCCTAGGGAAAAAAAGGGCACCACCATATTCTGTTATACAAAAAAAAAAAAAAAGGTAAGAAAATATGCTATGGGAAGGAGAAGGGAGACATAGGCACGAGGAAAGGAAAACACAGCATTAAAAAATGCTTAACAGGTTCTTTCAGGAGAGAAAACCAGCAGATGCAACGCAAGGGAATCTTAACTCTGCACAGGCACTGAGGATATAGGTAGGGCTCGGGGGGGAAAAATGAATACAGAAATACAGAAAGTTATATTTTCAAACAAAGTAGAGATGTAGCACAAGCAAGGATGATTTAGTGTTTGTTTCCCTGAGGTCAACTCCAGAAAGAGATTTCTTACAAAGACGGGTTGTTTTATGTCAGATCTGCAGTCCTGCTGGTAAATCTTGAAGATTCATCAGGAAAGAAAATTTCCCAGGGAATGAGTTCTAGTCCTCAGAGTTGCTGAAAGTAGTGCTTAGCAGTCCAGGAATGTGGATAAACTGCCTGTGTCAATTCAAAACATGTATCTGGTTGCTGTGAAGGGAAGCACTGTATCTGCATGTGATTTCCCGGAACAAATCAAATGTTTCTGCAGAGGAAATCATAAAACGCTGACAATAGAGTAAAGTAAAGTAAAGTTTTTTTAAAAAAAAAAACATTTAAATTTACTGCAATTAATGACCATTTGTTCAGGGGGAAAAAAAAATGAAGAAAAGGAAATGAGTGGTGCAATGCAAAACACAATTGCAATGTGAGTAACTTACAAGAGTAAGAAACAAGCAGAACTATGTACACTGACACCGGAATGCATGGTGAGGCAGGAAGATGGAAAAGGCATATTCTTCCAAGATGCAAACAGAAACTCTCAATTCATGGGCACATCCACATTTTGTTGGCATACGTGGCAGAGCGTCCATGTGTTCCACTTCACTATGACAAAGCCAAACCAGCAGTGTTTATGCAGAGGACAGCTCTTCAGTCACTGCTTAATCAACATTATAGTCAATCTAGAAGCAGTGAACAGTAAAGTGACATCTTTGAAATGGAAGATTTTTTTCTATTTATTGATATTTTCATTTACCTTCCCCTTCATTAAAAAAAAAAAAAAAAAAAAAAAAAAAAGCTGCTTCAATATACTATTGCAATAAAACAAAAATAGAAACTGAACATTTACAATGCCACGTACACAGAACACATATATGACAGTCCAGCAGTAAAATCCAGGAGGCAGATCTGGGCTTATCCAAAGCTGGTCACTATTAACAAGATGTTTGGCTTTTCTGCCCCATCCAGCAGTGACACTAACAATTAATCCATCTCAAAGTCAAGTATCTAGTCCAAAGTTGCCCTATGCAGTGTGCTCAGTTATCCTAACTCTTTGCACACCACCAGGAATTCAGAAGAGATTAGAAGGAATAACTATATCCTAGGTTGATTTTTCTCTTTACTATATACAGAAGACCTGTTTCTTTCCATATGTTTTACTGACATTTGTTACATTGAACACACTGATTAAGTACAACCAAGTTGAATGCAGACCATCATTCCGCCCTTCGCTCCTACAGCAACTGCAAAGATATTCTTAAATCCTCAGTGTCATCGCTCAGGAAGGCACCAGGTCCTGTGCTCTTTCCAACTGCAAGCAGGACATGCCTCGTGTGAAAAAGAAGCCCTGCTGGCTCCAGTGAGGCCAGCTAAATAAACAAGAAACACGGTTATTCTTACTGTACCAACACACTAGTCCCAATGTGTCCTGGAGAAATGACATCTGAAAAAAGAAACCCTGCAGCTAAGCAGACATTTTCTAGTGCTAGACAGGTTATCACGTACAGCATCTAGACAACTGTCTCTGCTCAGCCAGACCCCTGCAGAGGGTGGACCTGCACTTAGCTGCATTTCAGTGACACTGCGCTGGGCTGGGTGCACCCTGGCCCAGCCTTTGGCACTGCTGGGGCAGCAGCTGTTCAAGTTCTCAGTGCGGAAACGTAACAGATGCTCAGAGCCACCTGGGCACCCCACGGCCTTGAGCGCATGATCCGCCCTGGCTTTGGCAGGATCTCCTTGCACGGCCATTTTAGACGTGTGGAGGTGTGGCACTAAGGGCCACGGTTTAGTGGGCACGGTGGTAATAGGATGATGGTTGGACTTGATGATCTTAGAGGTCTTATCCAACCTTAATGATTCTAGGATTCTACAGATGAGTGCCCATCCTTTGTCCTTCAGGAGACACCACACAGGGGCAGGTGCCATCTCCTGAGGGACAACCCAGCGTGGAGGTGCAGGCGAGCCTGCGAGGACCACAACCACTGCCACCATCACCATCAGTCACCACCGCAAGCCGTGTGCTGTTTTGCACGCTGCAATGGACAGACATAAAACTGTCACAGCGTGTCCAAGATGGTGAAGGGTATGGAGGGCGAGGGGTGTGAGGAGCAGCAGATGTCCCTGGGTTTGCTTGGGCGCAGAGCGGAGCAGGCTGAGTAGAGACCGCGTTGCCTCACAGCTCCTCACAGGGAGCGCTGGGACAGTGACCTCAGACACCGGTTCGGATTTGGGTGGTGCAGCGCGGATCCACAGCCCGTCCAGCAACACTCCCCGCGTTCTCGCCCCGCCCCGCCCTCCATTGGCCGCTCGGCGCTGCGGCCGTCACCCGGCGGGCGGGCGGGGGGAGTGAGGGGGGGCGGGCGCGTGGTGTGTCCCGCACGTCATATCAGCCGCCCGCCCGCCATTGGCCGCGCCGTCTCACCCCAGCGCTGGGCGGGCGGCCGTGGCCGGCGCGCGACTCCCGCGCTCAGCGCTCGCACCCGGTCCCGCCCTCGGCGCGGCGTGAGGGGAGGGGCGGAGCGCCGGCGGGCCAGGCGCTGCCGCCGGTAGGTTGGCGGCGGGTGACGTGACGGCGGCCGCCGGCGGTTATAAACCTTACGCCGGGAGCGGGCGGTGAGCGCGGTGGCGGCCTGCGCCTTCCTTAGGGGCTGAGGTGAGAGGCGGTAGCGGGGAGGGGGCGGTGCAGCCCGGCTCTGCGGCTGTCACCTGCGCCGCCGGCCGTTCCCGCCATCTCCGGAGCGCGGCCGGGCAGATGCCCCGGCTGGAGAGCGGCGCCTGGAGCTGCTCCTGCGCGGCCCGTGCGCGGCACGCGGCGCGGCCCGGGGAAGCGGCCCCCAAGGCGGGCGCTATGCGGAGCCCATCGCCCAGCGTGGGACGTGCGGTGCGGAACGGCACGACGTGGAGGCAGCACCTGGTGCAGCGCAGCGTCGTGCTCTTCGTGGTGGGCGCCTTCATGGCGCTGGTGCTGAACCTGCTGCAGATCCAGCGCAACGTCACGCTGTTTCCTGACGAGGTCATCGCCACGCTCTTCTCCTCCGCCTGGTGGGTGCCGCCGTGCTGCGGGACTGCGGCAGGTGAGTGCCGTGCGACCCCTCCCGACACCCCCCCCGCCACATCCCGCTCTCCGTGACGCCCCTCGGTCGGATCGCGGATCGCGCTGCCCGCAGCCGCCGCGGGGCTCCCCGCGCCCGCCCCGCCACCGCCCCTCGCTCCGCCATTGGCTGCTGCTGAACTGGTGAGGCGCGGACGGCGCTTCCCATTGGCTGCCGCCGCCAACAGGCCACGGGCCGGGCCGACAACAAGGAAGTCACGTGCGGGGCTGCGGGCGCGGGGCTGCGTTGTGTGCGGGCAGCCGGGACGGAGTGCGGGGAGCTGGGGTGGAAGCGCGGGGCGTCAGAGCGCCGTCATCTTGGCGCTGGAAGTGCTTCAGCGAGCCTTGCGTGCCTTGTTTATCTTTTGGTGGTTCTGTTTGTGCCCCTGCTGAAAGTATGAATGATATGCTTGCATGAGTGATAAGCTGTGTAGTAAAGATTGTCATAACATAGTTTTCTAGTAGTCTTATCTAGTAGTGCTTGCATTAAGCTCTGGCTATTAGCGGCTATCTCAAGGTAAAAGTCCTGTGACTGGCATCAAGAAACAAAACTTGAAGTGTTAGTTCTACTGCCTTATGCCCTACTATATGTCTTATATTGTCCTGCACAGGGAAGCTGTTTCTTTTAGGAATCAAAGATTGAGGGGAGCAGAGTGGATGAAACACATAACATGAGACTGGTACCTCATTTGAGCCTTCTGTCAACACATGGAGCTGCTAGCAGGGACAAGTTTTGCTGTTCTAAAGCATACAACTAAGCTCATGGTAGCCTCTTTTCTTCCTTCTGCCACCACTTCTCAACTGCAAAGACAATTTGAGGCTAAAACCCTGTCAAGCTAAAAGGGTGGGTCACAGGCTGTGGCTGATGGTAGCTCCTTCCTGAGATTCCACCCTGCTTCTGTTAGATACCAAAACTCATGTGGGATGGATCGGGATCATAGGCTGAGTTAGAGCCCAGCAGAAAGGGAAGCAGCTCTGCCAAGCAACATCTTAGTCTACATAAATAGTAATTCAGGGCCTGATTCACAGGCAATACGTTAATAAAGGAGATATCCTGCACAAACAGTAAAGATGCATTCTATTCATCTCTGTAATTAAGCTATTTGATTTTGTTTTATTGGTGCAGGGCAAGTGTTTACTCAGTAAGAAATGATTCATGCTTATGGAAGAAAAAGAGCTTGAAGTGAGATACCTTAATATTGCACTACATACATCTCTGCTTTAAGGGTTCAAACGGAACATCTCTTTATCAAGTCTGAGGCTCTTATTTTTTCATTCCTAAAGTGTATATGAAGGGTTGTTAATTGTCTTTTCTTTGCCAGGCTTACAGTACTGTACTACTTGTGTCACTACTGATAATGCTTAGCCAAACACTTATTTGACAAGCTAATGTCTAATGTATCTAAATAATCAGTGTATAATGGTTAATATATTGTCTTGCTTCTCTTGCAGCTGTTGTTGGCCTGCTGTACCCCTGCATTGACAGCCACCTTGGGGAACCGCACAAGTTCAAAAGAGAGTGGGCGAGTGTGATGCGCTGCATAGCAGTTTTTGTTGGCATTAATCACGCAAGTGCTGTATCCTTACCTAGTTTTTGTTGCTTGACATGTTGTTTGTATTGCCCTGAGCTCACCTGAGGAAGCTACAAAGGTAGTGATAATGCCAGGGGGCAACTTTGGACTGCAGAAACATGCTGTACAGTGCAATGGTTGCTCTACAATACTTCACCACTGTTACCTTTGAAGTAGTTATGGGGTTCTGGGATGGGAGAAGGCCAGACGTTATTCTGTGTCTGGTGTAACTGAGTGCAACAAGGTAAAAACAACACGAGTTAATCTGTGTGCTGTCTGTATTTAATAGTTAATGTAAGTAACTAGTGAGATCACAGCATCATAGAATGGCCTGGGTGGAAAAGGACCGCAATGCTCATCTAGTTTTAACCTCACTGCTACGTGCAGGGTCACCAACCACCAGACCAAACTGCCCAGAGCCACATCCAGCCTGGCCTTGAATGCCTCCAAGGGTGGGAGATGCACTAAGTTATTCAGTAAGAATGTTTTTTTGTGTGTGTGTTGAATGCTTATGACTTGTGCAGAAAACTTTAAATTAGGAAGGAGTAGCTTGGTTACTTCAAATAAAAAAGGAAAATCCATGGAAGTTAAATGTATTACTGTATGGTGTATTCTTTAGATGCACTCCACTCACA